CCACGTGGCACGCCGCAGAGGGGAAGCCGCCCAATCAGCTGGAGCACAGTTCAGCCTCCTCTGGGCTGAATGCCACAGCCAGCAGGCCAGGCAGCTTCTCCTCTGCGCCAGCCCATGTGGAGCGTGGTGCACCCTGGCTGAGCGCCATGGCCAGCTGGATGGGCAGCTGCTTCTCTTCCCTCCAGCTCGGCTGCCCTGCGCTCAGCCCAGGGAGGCTGCGCCTAGCTCCAGCTGTGAAAGCCACAGTCAGCTGGCTGGGGTGTTTCAGCCCTCCCGACCTCCCAGCTCCCCCCATTCCTCGCAGCTACTCACCTGTGTTGTTGCTCAGTGAGTAGCTGCTCCTCAAATGAGGAAATCTAATGTAAATGTACTGCACAGGCGCACAGTTCAGAGAGGGCTCAAGAGCTACTCTTAGAGCCCCTGAGATCTACCGGTAGCTCACGATCTACTGGTTGGTGACCACGGCCCTAGTGGAAGGGACTGACTTGCTGGGGAGCGGCTAACATTTCCAGAGGCCCTGACACCTCCCCGCCTTAGTGTTCTTGGCCCCAAAAGCCCCGCCAATCAGAGCGTCGCCGTTAGCTACCAACAGCGCAGGCTCTGCCCACACAACTACACAGCGTGTGCTCGTCCTACAGGGGGCAGCCTCCCCGCCCTAACACTTAGCAGGTGAGTTCATTCCAGCCACCCAGCGCCCTTTGCAGAAATTCGGCTGCATGCAAAGGCCAACCCCCCAGCCCAGCAGCGCCGGGCGCTCCTCGGAGGAGATGGCGAGATTTCTTATGGGCTGGCTGCTTCTACCCCGGTCTCTGCCCAGAGGTGCCCCCTTCTCTCACAGCTGTCGAAGTAGCTTTGCCCGTAGCTCTCCTTGGTCTCGGGAGGGAGGCGGCGCCAGATCTGCTCCTGGGACTCCAAGTTGCGCTGGAGGTCCGTCATGGACGTCTGGAAATAGCCGGGCTCCACCATCGCGATCTTCACGCCGAAGGGCTGCAGTTCGCGCCTGGAAGCGCCCCGCCACCCCCAGCCAGGGCTGGCCGTGGGATTCCTAGAGCCCCTTAGGGCCCGCCTCTGATTTTGGGGTATTCTCAACTCCACTTTTGGGAACATGGCCCAACACTTCTTGAGTGGGGCCCCTTCCAGTCAAAGCACCCGGTAGGGACAGATGGACTAGAGAGGATGACGGGAAGCATAGGAACAGGAACTAGAGGGCTGGAGGGGGGGGCCCGGCAGATCCCCAGGGCTTCCAGCTTAGCACTTGGGGTCCAGACGGCTTCTCCACGTTCTCAGCTGCTGCCCTGCGTGCTGGAGCCCAAGTTAGGGGGCAGCCGAGAACACAGCCCCCAGGATAACGGCTCCTGCCCCACGTGCTCTGGGGATGGGGCTGGACAGGGGCGAAGGGGCAGATCACCCCCCCTTTGAACAGTGTCCCCACGCCCCTGCCTCAAAGGACCCGCTCCCAAGGTCCCTGGGAATTGGGCTCTTTAAAGAGGTTTCAGCA